GTGGGATCCATCCTTCCAGTAGACTAGATCTTTAAACTAACGAACATATAGGTAGAATAATCTTTTTTATGTAGGAATTAGGAGCTCTATGTAGACGACGTACGTTCCTCGCAGAATGTTGTACCTGGTAGAGCAGATCTATTGAGACTCGACCCATATCTTGGAGATTCGTCTTGTAGATCACAAGTAAATTTTAGGACAAACATTTGTAGACCCCGATTCTTCAGAATAATTAAGATGACGATCAAGCTAGCGTCCTATTTATTTCTTCAAACTGATTTTTATTGCATATTTAATGGAAAAAAATTAAAACGTTTATTGTTTCTTTCGTATAAATATCAATTTAAAATACTTGTAAAAAAACACATGATAAATATAATACAAATATGAAATAAAACAAAATCGGTAAAAAAAGTAACCTACCGTCACTTCTAATAGGCGTAACAACAGAAATGCTATTATGAAGACCATGCTGCATCTTTTCATGCTTTCTCTTATTTCCTGCGCTACTAAACAGTTTGCCACACACGCCACACGTTCTATTATTAACAGGAACACCTACATAAATACACAAAAGAAAATAAAAACGTGCAAATAAAAGCAAAATATTAGTATAAGAAAACAAAAAGATTAGAATATAAAGCACACTAAAAATTAGGTAAAGCATAAAGTGGTTGGTTATTTTTACATTTGTATTCAATGATCAAGTTCGTAGATTATGAACTAGAATATACCCAAAAATCGGAAAATAACTGGTTAGTTCATCTTTTCTTTCATCTCTTTTGTGTCACAAATCAAATTAAGCACACTGAGTACAAAAGGACCATTTAACATTAATCTAGTCTTGGATAGTTAGGGCCTTTTTGCATCTGTCAAACACATTAGTACAGCGCGAACTCGATGCTGCTTATGTCATTAGCAACAGTGAAATTTTAGGAATCTGTAGTTTTTCGTTGTCGTAAAAAGTGTTTGTTGACGAACGTTCGCGAGCCCAAATACTTATTCTGAGATGAGGTGGATTATTCCCCTTGGAGGTGGATCATTTATAACTGACTATGTGTTTTTGCTGTACTGACTCTCTTAAATTTCTTACTGTCTTTCTTCGTCATATGTTTAAAAGGCAGGCTTCAGCGACAACAGTTTCTTTTACCATTTACCCTTTTTAACACGTTTTTCAAAGATCGTTAATATTCTCTTCTAAAATTTTCTAAGCATTAGGTACACACAGTAATAAGGACAACCGTTGAAAAAAATGTTAAAAAATTAATGTGTTGAACCTCCACGATGTCTCCCGCATTCAGAAATATGCCTGGGTATACTCCTAATAAGATGAGCGATTTTCTGTTGATGTATCTCATCCCAGGCTACTTTCATCTCATGCTGAAGTGCCTATAGAGACTGAAGGATGATGGTAAACGGAGTATTCTTCATCCCATAATGTCCCAAACGAATTCAATGGCTGAAAAATCGGGAGATCTAGGGACCAAGACAGCAAATCGACTTGATTATCTTTAAAATGGCCCGACGTAATTCTGGTTGTATACAGTTGAACATATTTTGTTGGAAAAGTGAATTGGAGATCTTCCTTATATAAAACAGAAAATGTACCTTCTGGAAGTAGGGTGACTAACTTCCATAAACAACAGCTCCCCATACCATAATTCCAACAGTGTGTTTCACATGTCTTTCCATAGAAAATGGGTCATCTCGTCTTTCAACACGTCACCTTCTCGCCCTTGTAAGGCCATGCATGTCCGAACAGAATCTGGATTTATCACTTAAGGCAGCAGTATTTCATTGGAAGTAGTAGTTCAGCCGTTCTCTGCACCAAGCCGATCACTTCAGTGCCTTAGAGTGAGAGGTAGAACAAACTGAAGGCGGTATGGTTCGCTTTGCAATAGACCTACTATACACCCCAAGCCATAGATCTGCATTTGACCTTGTGGACGTGAAGCAGTCCCATAGAGACAAAAGCCTAAGGTGGCGATCTTGGTGTGGGGCTGTTCTTCTGACAATCCCTGTATTTCTAGGTCTTTGTGTACGGCCTTTCTGATTTCATGCCCGACAACAAACCACCACAGTATTGTTACTTCTGTGTAAGTTCGTGGCTATTTTTCGAAAGAACCAATTGGCCTCGCAGAAACCAAGTATTCGCCCTCTATCAAACTCGACTAAGCTGATGAAAGTTTGTTTGTCTTCTCATTAGGTGCACAATGAATAGATTAAAGCAGCGCTTCACAACATATTGTACGATTATCACATACCAATTGTAGCTACAAAACACAACTACCGCTTAGTTACTTTTTTGTAAGAACATACGATATCACAAAAACCACTTTATGAAAAACTGAGAAGCCGAATATAGAAGCCACAGAAATAAGGCCAACGCTAAGATTTTCGAGAAAGGAGAGGATAAGAAATGAATAAATCAGGGAACTCAAGGGAATAGAAGGTACAATAATGGATGACGTAACAAAGCAGCTCATATATTATGTTACGGACCTGTACAGGGAGTGGAAAACAGTACACTCTAGAAACGAGTACTTGCATGGACATGAATACATGAACTGAATGAGTAAGAAAATCAATGAGCTCCTAAGATCTTAGAGAAGAACAATGGAACAACAGACCTGAATGTAAATTGGGCATTGAACAATGTCGAAAGACGTTCTAAACCGATTCTTGAATTGGAATGAAGAACTGATTTTTTTTTGGTCCTAACTTCAACACGACACAAAGTTAGGTCAAAAAGTAAAAACTAGTGGGGCGATGAAGAACTACTACGTTTCACATGGAGATGCAGGCTTCAATATAGATGTTGGTCCATTGTGTTAGCAGCTAGGATTGTAGTTCCACTAAAAGGGGGACAAGATAAACCCAATATAAAGAAAATATCCAAGAAAAGAGATTTGAGATTGATTGATGAGATTTTTATGAACTTAAATGTTTGTTTAAATAAAATACAAAAGACACACGCCCTATTTCTATTAGTTTAAAGTGATAACTTACAATCGGAATTTGGAATTACCAACACACAAATAATTTTATAACTATAGTCCAGCAAATAAAAAATGAAATGAATTATGTTTATCGTACCGTTTAGCTCTAGCCATGAATTTTACCAAGAAGCGTGTCAATAGCGGAGAAAGGATGTGTATATGGTCAGTATATATGTTTTCTCAGAGTTATTGTTATTGAAATTCAATAAAAAAAATGGATGAAGCTACTACTAGCAGGGATAGTATAGAATTTAAAAGTTGTCGTAAACAGTTAGGACTTGGGAGCAAAAAAATAGTGTCTAATCTGTGTGAGTATTTAAGAAAAGCATTGTCTCAGATGTAGACAACGCGTTGAAAAGTATGACAGGAGTAATGCCATCCACTGTTTAAGGATTTTTAGTCAAAACAACGAACGGGTGAGGTTCAGGCCACACAGACAAATCTATGGGGTCGAAAACCAAGAAAATTCCTACTCCAGACAAAATCTTTTTTGCATTAAAAACTAATGAACTAATTCCCAAATGAGTCATGAAACTTAGTGTAAGCAGCTAATATATAGCTGCTAAAATATGTAGAAAAATCTATTATTTAAACGAAACTTGACGGTTGTAAAATGAAAGTATTTGCTTCGTTGAGTAGTTTCCACTATTAAATAGACTAGCACGGCTATTTTAACACTCAAGAGAATTAATTTTTTTTTCAGAAATAAACTTCGAATCTTGATAATTGCTTTGGTTATGTTTACTGCTGAATACGTAGGATCAATTGCGGGGAGGACTGAATTTTTCCCAGTATGATTCATGTAATGCATAATTATAATAACAAACACGTTTTGGCATGTTTTTAGAAGTCATTATGTACATACAGACCAAACAGGCATCTTCGATTGCTAGTACTTTTTCTATTGATAGACTAAGTAATTGAATATACTACTGAAATAAAAAGAATATACCAATTTGAGTATTATAAATTTTAGGTATATAGTCCACTTCCGCTCATCAGCCAGAGGATTATCCGCGATTCTATAGAAGCTTCGAAGAAATATTCGAATTTGAATAAGAATTGCAAAAAAACATATAGTGACCAGCAAGGAAACATATTTTCTTACACGCCGCCAATGATCTACTTCAAAATTTCCGATCATTCATTGTTGAGACGTGATTCCGGCTACTTTTGACCAGTTACAACGCGTAACTTTGGATGACTAATTTCATTTTTTGTGTGCTAGACTATAGTTGGAACTGAACGAAAGTTTGTGTACGGTAGGTATACTACAGGAGCAAATGAGAATTGAACTGAAATAAATGAAAATTTAAATTGAAGATTAATGATTAAACTGAATATTTACTTGATAGAAAAATTGGGTGCCCACTATTTTTAGAATAAAATAGTAAAACAAAGCAGAAACTCAACCAATGAATAAAATCAAAAGAAATTAGAATAAAATAATTATTTTAAGAAAAATAACAAACATGACATATGTAAGTTACAGTAATCCTAGAAATTAGTTGTAATAAATTTAGTATTACTGGGTGTTCTTTTTTCTGTGTCCCTGTGTAAAGTCAAATAAAAACTAAGCAATTTAATAATCCTGGCAGAGTTTCTAAAACTAAAAACTGGAGGAGTGCTTAGTGATGTCAGTAGTATAACAAATCCTGGAAGTGATTGTTAATTTTAGCAAAGGGGCAATATTGAAGGAATACGAAGAAATATATTTATTGGTAAAGTTTTTTTCTGGTAATAATCGATGAATAATGGGAGAATAATTATTATCATCGCTATGGATTTTATTGAAATGTGAGTGGTGAAGATACAGATTTTTTCGATAAAATCATAAATTGTGTTTTTATTGTCCTTCTTCATCTTTTATGTGGTACTCATTAAAGTACTCGCTTTATTAATTTATTTTCTTTCGACTGGGAAAAATTACAACATAATATAATCTGACGGGTCAAAATTTCAACCATTACTTAAAAATATATATACTGAAAAGATACTTACTGACAACTAAGGGTTCACTCAAATCATCAGCCTCAGCCTGTTGAGGAGATAATTGTGGCGGGAATTCACTATACACTTCGTCCAACCCGTCCATATCAATGGGTTCAGATTTAACCACCACATGTCCGGGCATTAATATGTCATTTGGTTGATCAAGATGGTGGTTCATTTGACCTACATCTAGCATATCTGGGTTATCGTGTTCGTTCTGTTCAGTGTGGTCTGCCGGTTCTTCTTTAATTTGTAAGCTCTAGAAAAGAGTAGAAAAAAAAACATAATTATTTAGAACATGCCTCAGAATAAGTCTTCTTTTGCCTACATAAATGTAAATAAATTTTACACACAAAGTTTAAAGGAACTAAATTAGTCTATAACACACGTTTAGGTCCTTTTGGTTACTTCTGAACATATATAGGAAAGGTATTTGTCAAAAAATGTAATAAAATTCATAAACAAGGTTGTTCATAAACAATCAAACAAAGCCAAATTTCATTCAACTCTGTATGTAGTCTATTTTAAGTATCCTCAAAAGTTCTGAAGCATATGGAAATAATGTAAAATAACCTAAAAGAAAAAACTAACTACTCTAGAATCCAGAATTTGTGTTCAAAAGCACTACCTTAAAGAACGAAATTACTTGTATTACTTCTAATACACAAAACTGTGAAATGAATGTGTAGAAGCATATACAAGATCAAATCCAAAAAAATCACAAACAAAAAGGGACATGTTTTGTTTATTTAAACAAACATTTGAGTGACTTTAAGCCTTAAAGGTAACCAAGGATCACGAAATTACCATCATATTATGAATTATGAGGTTTTAAAGAGAAAGTTGTAGAAGGAGCCAAATATCATATAGTTAGAAAATATTATCTTGGTCAGAGAAACGACAGAGGGGATAGATTGATACAGTACTGCCAAGACAAACATCTAGTTATTCGTTATATATTTGGTGTATAATAGATTATGTGACAATTAATAAATTTACAGGATTGCTATTACATAGGATCCAATCACAATCTATTAGTTGCAAATATTAAACTGATGCTCGCTAAAACAAAAAAAGAACCAGAAGGCATAACCAAACGTTAGAAAACTCAAAAAGAACGATACAAGAGAGGCATTTACAGAATAAATTAAAAATAGATCAATTAAGGATGATGTTGAAAAGTCATGGAATAATGGAAAAAGTATGGTTCACCACAAAAAAATATGATGTGTGAACACTCTTCTCCAAAATAAAGCAACTATTAAGAATGAGTGGATGGCAGAAGAACTAGTAGAGATGATAGAACAATGCAGGCAGTGAAAGATCAGGTAGGATCAAGTAGGGTACTTATAATAAATATACACAGCAAAATTAGCCACCAAGTTGTAAATTTTACAGTGAATATACAAAATTCACAGAAAGCTTATATTGGTTCAGTATCTTAATGGTTTTTGTTTGGATTTAAGGAGCTCAACCATTAAATTCATAATTGTGTCGATTTTATCAACCATTTGCCACCAACAGATCAAGTCATTCAAATCTAAAGCAAGCTACTTCAATAAATAATAATCTGAGTATATAAATTGGTAATTTTAAAATGTTAGAATTTGAAAATGCAAAAAATGAGAAAGTTTTGTGTATTAAAATATTTTTTCAATAACAATATTTGTTAAAATATTTGTTTATCTTGTAACAACCGAGCCGTAGAAATAAGTGATTCCATGGCTTTCTTCAATTAATGTTTTTTTCAATATCTCTATATATTTAAAAGTAATTATTTTTATTAACTTCAATAGTTACACTCTATTTTGGTACAGGAATTACTAGGTTGACTTACAAGGTCCAACAAAGAGGCAGGATCCACTTGGTTTTCATTAAGGTCGTCGTCAGAGGGGGATTCAGATTCAATTCCATTTACAGGAAGTGGTTCTTCGGGTACAACAAAATTTTCAGGTACAGCCAAAACTTCTGGACCTTCTTTCGCAACCAACAACTCAGACAACTTCTTTTGGTTTTGAAGACATTGCTCCTTGTACGAAATCCAGTCAGTTACTTTTGCTACGCACTCTTCACAGATCTTGGTGGACAATTTGTCTGACGAATTGACCTGGAAATAAAAAAAAATATGTAAGTTTTTGTCAATTTTAAAATTTGAGTAGCACAATTATTGACCAAAAATATCATGAATTTGGATGACGAAAGATTTTATAGACCCTATATGTCGCCGACGATCAGGTCGCGATAGCGCAAGATAAAGATATCGCATTTATGACGGTCAGACTACTAAAGGAATACGAAAAATGAGGAACTAATATGAAATAAAACTTAGACCAACTATCTGTATATTAGACAAAAATTAGAAAGTTTGCAATTAGATAACGAGACGATAGAAGCATGCAACAAGTATACCTATTTGTTTTATATAAATAATATAAAAGTTCACGAATGAAGAAGCAAATGGCCTATTTATTATAAATCATATAGGAGAAGGAGGGGTAATATCGCGCGGTGGGTAATATCGCGCAGGCCATAAATATGTACAATGAATCGCACAATAAGAAATGTAATCAAGTGTATGGTGTTAGGGAAAGCTGGTAACTATGTAGAAACGGACGGCTGTTCGTTCAATAGACTCAGTTGCACGTGGTAGATGAAAGCTTGGAGTAGATAGTTTTTGTTATAGTATTGTGCTCTTCTATTATCAGAATCTAGAATTGTAGCCAGTAAATTATTGGAAGTAATGGTGACGTTTCAGCGCTATTGTAGGTCTTTTGGGTCAATTACAATAAATAATTTAAGGTTAGTAGGTGATAGTTAAACCTCCCTAAAACCACAATAGTCGATGAAAGCCGGCAACTCAGGGATTCAGTTGTTTTTGCTATCGAAGTAAGCAAGATATGACTCATATAAACAGATTATAAATTTTTTACATTTTTTATACATTAGTTTTTTTCGGCAGCGAAGATAGGAATCATAAAACTTTATTACATCTTTCGGTGTAAGATAAAATTCTTAAATAGGTATAATTATTTCATTAGATTATCGAAATAGTGAACACGTATTTTAAGTTGTGAGCAATATGGAAGTCGAGATCAGTCAAAGTAAACGATGCCCAAATTTTTCGATGAAAAAAACTATTATACAACGTATATTGTGGACCCCGTGAAGGGAATAAAAGTATATTGGTAAACGACAACTGTATACAGAATTCTAAAAAACTTTAAACAAAGTAAAGGCAAATCGGATAATGTATCTCTTGAAAACATTGAAACCAGAGGTAGAAAACGCATCCAGCTTGAAGATGACACCAAATACGCTATTCGGAGTAAATTCCGCGCTTTCTTTTTTCGGAACGAAATCCCAACCTTAAAGAAAGTTGAAGCCGAGATAAATTCCGATGATTTAATGCCAAAAATATCACAAATCGTTGTGAAGAACAAAAAGTGTACTATTTAAATGAAACTTGGCTGAATCAAGGTCATACTGTCTCCAAGGGGTGGCAAGATTTTGAAATTAAAAGTCAAAGCCTTTCTTCAAGGGATTTTAACAGGTTTAAAAACACCAAGGAGTAAAGGACGGAGACTTATAATAACACATATAGATAGCGATTCTAGAATAGTACGAATAGCACGAGATAAGTCACCAAATGGACGAAGACGTATTGGCAGACCAAGAAAAAGATGGTGCGACAATTTATGAGGCTAATATCGAAGAAGAAACAGGCTTTAAAGCCTATATACTAGAAGGAAGAAGAAGAAGGTAGCGATTCGGTTTTTTTGGACAGCAGCTTGTTACTATTCGAATCCCAGAAAACCAATAATTACCATGAGGAGATGAACGCTCAAAGATTCGAAGGTTGATTTGATTCTAGCAAGCCTTGAAACAAATTCTGTCGTTGTTATGGACCATGCGTCATACCACAGTCGACGGTTGGAGCCAACACCAACAACTGACTGGTAAAGGAGACATCATCAACCGGTTCTCTCAAAAATTATACCATTCGATGACATGTTGAAAGTATAATTATAAAATATCGCGAGGATACATATATCCGAATTCAAGAAATATGCTGTCGACAAAATGACTTGTGAAAACAACATAATTGTACATCGCCTCGCTCCTTATCATTGTGAGCTGAACCCTATCGCGCTTATATGGGCTCAAATAATAAAACAAATGACAAGAGAAAACTTGAGTTTTGAAATGGAGGAGGTGAAAATCTTGTTAGCTATTATTGCTATTTATCAATGTAAATAGTAGTGATTGCGTGTGCATATTTGGTTTTTAATTTGATTTTTAATTATTGAAGCGAGGGCTAGAAAACGAAATCACGCTCAGTAGAGGCAAGATGCGCGATATTGCCACTCACTTGTTTTAATGACAACTTTTTTGTAATCCTTTTCCTGGGTAAAGAAAATAAATGGTATATGGTATAAATGATTAAAAATTATCCTCGTTTAACTGTTTTTGTTTTATTTGTACCAAATCCTAGGAAAAATCATTTTAAAAAAGAAGAGAAAAGATATTCACATTTAATGATGTTTTCTTTTATTTCAGACGGTAAAAACTATAAACGAAATACCCAACGATAATTTTGGTCAGTTGAGCAGCTTAATAGCGTTATAGCTGCAATTAATACAGAACATTACAGTTAGAAATTTTAATATTCCAGAGTCAACAATACATATGTGATAATTTAAGGGCAAAACGACGTCTATACTCTCGATCGAAGTTCTTCGGACGAAGTGAAGATAATGAAGGCGACGTGACTCTCTGTATACTCGTGACGTCTAGTAATGTAATGTGACACTTTGTAATCTTTGTATTCCAACTTCAGGCCCTTTGACTCGGACGCGAAAACCGACACAGAACGGAAGTAGAACGAGGCGAAGCGAAGTCGCATGAAGTACCTGTCTACACTCTCGAACTCACTGAACTTCGACCAACTTCGCGAGTAGTATAGTGGTGGCTTAAGAGGTTTTGAAAATGGAGCTCCGACTATAACGGACTTAATGGGAAAGAAACTCGTATTTACTAAAGAAGCAGAGTTAGCAGATCACATAATAAAATTGTAAAATTTGTTTTATGGAGTAATACTTTTTACGGCTAAGAGGATTTTTAAAACGGAATCTTTTAAACTAAGTCTTCGTCAACCACAAAGCACTAGCATAAACCGCATATCCTCCTACCAATGCTGAAACTGTTGGAATTTTTATTAAAATTGAAGACGTTTTGAAGTTTAAATTTAGGGGCGACAGCGAAAAGCACGTGTTGCATATTTGTACACTATTATTGTTTTTAATTGATTTCTTAAACCAAAAATATTTGCACAGGTCAACTGTTTATTGTCAATTCAGGTTTATTGTCAACTGTATATTGTGAGGTCAATTTGTCAACTGTTTATTGTATAAAATGTAAATTTCTTGGATGTTTCTGCTTAGCCGCGCGATATTACTCCCTTACCCCCAAGTATTGCAGTTTTCGTTGTAAAAGAAGAAACAGGGACAGATTTGGTCTGTCCCTGTTTCTTCTGTGATTATAGATAATTATAAACTGTTCAATTTTCAGCTCTTAATGTTAATAAGCAATGGAAATATGATTTTAAGAAAAAATTTTCATCTTGGTTCCTATTGGACATTAGTTTAAAGGCTTTCTTTGTTCACCATCAGTAGGTCTACTTACAAGCGCGTGACATAAAGAATATCAAATTTATTAAAAATCTTTATAAGCTAAAACGTCGGCCCTTTTTTAAGAATTTTATTAAAATCTTTTAACCTTGCGCAAATACCGTGAAACTTTTTTTAATTTTTGATGACGTCATCCTAACAAACCAATTTTTTCTAAAAAAAAAAATACAAATATTTGTAACAATATATTTGTGTACCTTATTCTCTATACAAAGATATGAAATTTATAATTTTTTTGTTGTCTTGACAATTTTAAGGGGATATTAAAAAAAAAATGTCATTTTTTCAACAGGCTTTTAATAAAATCCAAATAATTATACCAAATAAAAAATTCTGATTCTACTAAAACATAAAACAGATACTAGTATGTTGTTAAATAAGGAAAATAAAATTTTAGTCTCGAAATCCATACAGATTACTGAAACTATTATTCCAAATTTTGAGATTCATAATTATCCTAACTATAGGTCAGATGCTCTAGACACAAATATTTTTTACAGTTTGTGCAAGAATATCTTGTTCTTCAAGAATAGGTGAGTTTTGTTCATTTCCAAACTCTTCTTCCGAGTCTATATCCTCAATAGTTTCTATAATATGGTCATCTATAAAACTCCCATCACCATCATCATCATCTGGTTTTGCCTCTGAATCAGTTAAAACTTCCCCATGAAGCTGCAACAGCCATTCTTGTTCCCTCTCATAATTCATTATAAACTTCTTCTTCCTTCTAGTATGTAGGCTTTAAAGCCTGTTTCTTATTGAATAATAGCCTCCTAAATTGTTTAAATTGTCGCACCATCTTTTTCTTGATCTGCCAATACTTCTTCGTCCATTGACTTATCTCGTGCTATTCATACTATTCTAGCCTCTGCCATTCTACTGATGTGTTCGTTCCACTCCTGTTTTCGTTTTGTCACCCATCCATTTATTTCTTCTATATTGCATGCTTATGTTTTCGCTTCTCTCCTTATCCAACAGACTTCTCCCTGATATTGGTCGGAGCATTTTCATCTCTGTTGTTTCTAGCAGTCGTCTCGTTTTAGATGTGTCAGGTCTAATTCTTGTTTTTGTGTCTTGTCTTAGGTGTTTGTTCTTCCAGATTGTGTCATTATATGTGTTAATCTTTGGAGCGCGTCTTCCGTCTCAGCGATTAATGCGGCGTCGTCTGCATAACATAATATTTGGATTTCTTTGTTCGCCATTCTGTAGCCATGACCTTTATGTACTGCTTGTATCATTTCGTCCATTATTATATTAAAGAGAAGTGGGCTCCACGAGTCACCCTGTCTGACTCCGCTTTGTACTGGTATACACTGTGTTAGTTTTCCATTTATCTTTGCATGTATTCGATTATGGAGGTAGATGTTTTCGATGGTTTGTATAATATTGATTGGTATGTTTCTTTTATACAGTAGGTGTA